CTCAGAGGCCTCTCCAGGCCGCAGCATCCCCCTGACCGCAGAAGGGAGGGGGCCTGGCTGCGGGCGCGGGCTGGGCAGGCTTTGGGCAGCAAAGATGCCCCCACATGTGGCTGCCACGTGCACCCACCACTGACACCCCATGGCTGCTGGCCAAGCCCCAGGGACTCCAGTTTCTGGCTCCACTGGCCACGGGGCTCCAGCCCCCGGTCACCCGGGGGCATCAACATTGAGAGGGGTGCTTGGTGGGGAATGGGCAGAGGGGAAGTGGTGGGGCAGGTCCCAACCCCGCATCGGACTCCAGAGCCCTGGGCTTGGAGCTAAGGGCCCGCGTGGGGACACTCACCCACCACACATCAGTCACACCTCTGCTGCTCGGACTCCCCATCTACCTTCTGGGGGTAATGGATGACCCGGTCCTGCCTGCCTGCCTTCCACCCAGGGCTTCAGCGTGGCCCAGCAGTGGCCTCCCCCTCTCTCCTCGTGGCCAGCTCCCCGGGAGGTCTCCAGGACCCAGTCTCTATGGCAAAGGGCCCCCAGGGGCTCAATCTCTGAGGAAACTCAACACCAATCCAAACCGGCCGCGGGAGGCAGGGGTGGCTGGCCAGCGGCGGGGCGAAGGGAGGAAAGGAGAGGAAGGGCAGGTTCCTCGTCTCAAACTTGTGAGCCCTGAGTGGGAGGCCCGGGAGACAGAGTTTGACAAGCTGGGAGGAGAGCTGTCTGTCTCCTGTCTGTGTGTCTTCCAAGTGGAAGCTGGGGGTGGAGCAGGCAGGGGGAGAGAGGCTGCGTGGCTTGTAGAATTAACAAGCGCCACAGTTGGGCAACACTCAGACACACGCTGAATACAGACACGCGTGTGCACGCTTCCTGGCTCCAGGCCAACAGGTGACACCCGTATCTCCAAAGGTTGCACGGTGACGTGCGCACTCAGGGACACACGTGTGGGGGGCACTCCGCAGCGTGTGGAGCAGGCACATAGCCCCCCCCACACACACACACACACACACACTCACACACACACTCACCCCCAAAACCAGACACCTGTATGCCTCACGCGGGCTCTTGCGCGGGGACAGATGCGAGCGCGCACAGCCAGCACGCGGGCTGCTCACCCCGCTCAGCCCCGGCGGGTGCGCCAGCCCCTGGGTCTGTTCCAAGTCGGAGCCTCTCACATGAGGCCCAATGTGTCATTTCCAAACAGAAGGAATAGAGCTCCTTCGCAGCGGGGGGAGGAGCAGGGCTGGGGGTGGGTGGTGGGCGCGTGGGCACGTGCAGGGGGCAGAGCGCGGGTGAGGGAAGGAGGCATGTGAATCCGTGCTCCGGGCAGGTGCGGGCGGGCTGGGGGCTGGGGGGCTGGGGGGGAAGGAGCCCCAGGAAACAGAGTGTGCCTTTGTGAGGGTGTGTGTGTGCCGCCGAGCCTGTGTGCTATGGGTGTGGGTGTTTGTCTCCCTGCATCCGCCTTCTCTCCCGCTCTGGACTTTTAGCCTTTCTGGGCTCCTCGTCCTCATGTCCTACCCCCGCCGGCTCGGGGCTCAAAGTGGGGGCCCTGGTGGAGGAGGGGGGCGCGCTCCAGGACCCAGTCCAACCCCAGACGTTGCCTGAGGCTTCCCTCCAGCTCCCCTCCCTTCCTTTCCTCCCTCCCTCTCTCTCTCTTCCTCCCCCCCCCCCCCCAGGGCTGGCGTGCCAGGGGGTGGGACATGCCGATCACTGGCTGCGCCTCCGGCTGCCAGCACAGGACGCAGCTCCCCCCGAGCCAGGTGTTTGGGTCCCTGGAGACACCGCCGGCCCCTGGAGGCAGTGGCGTGGAGGACCCCGCAGACCCCCTGCAGCCCATGGTGAGTACATCTGGGAGGTGCGGGAGGGGCTCCAGCAAGGTGGGGCCTGGAGAAGCGGGGTCCTGGGTTCCAGGTGGGGACCGGAGCACAGGGAAATGTGGGTGGACCCCAGAGAGAGGAGGGGGCCAGGGAGGGGTCTAGAGACCAGGGACTCGCAGCATTGGACACTGGCTGCCCCAGAGACCCTGTCCCCTGGCTTTGAGTGGACACACCTGGTGTTTTTCTGGGGTTCAACTGGCAGAGGAGATGGAGACCCCCTTAGGGAACTGGACCTGGAGCCCAGAAGGGATCAGGCTGCCGTGTCGCAGGCACAGCCCCCAGAACCCCAGGAACAGAGTGGGACAGGCAGGAGGGCAGGGGGCAGCCCTTGTCATCAGCGCCCTGTGGGAGGTTGAGCCCCCCAATTGGGGTGCCAGTCCCAGAACCCCTCCTCTCCTCCCTCAGGGAATTCTGAATCCCACCACCCCACCCACCTTCAGCCCCTCCACGATGGACTGAACCAGGCTGCTGGCCAGATGGACAAGCTGGATGCCAAGGTGGGTGTTAGGCCAGAAGCCAGCCGGAGACCAGGCCAAAAGCCCCGGGGCTCTCCCGGGACAAATGGGCACATGGATGGCCACGCGGCAGGGAACATGGTGCCGACATGTGCAGGCGCCCAGAGAGCACTCCCCCTGGTCAGTCCTGGGCTTCCTCAGGGCGGGTGGCAGCGCCGTGCCCAGGTAATGCACGGACACCACTGGGCACCGGTGCCAGGCACCCTCCCAGGACCCCCAGATCCACACGTGGGGATGGGCTGGGTACCCTCCCAGGACCCCCAGATCCACACGTGGGGATGGGCTGGGGGCCAGGAGCACTGGTTGTTACCAAGTTGCAGCTCCTGGCGGCCGCTGGGGAGGGAGGTCAGCTGGTACCGGGTCTGAGGCTGCTCAGGTGTATTGGTGCCAGTGGACAAGGGTCCACCTCTTCCCGCAAAGCACACCTGCAGCTCCACCGGACTGACCGGGCCCTGGCCAGCAGCCGGAAGGAGTGGGTGTCCCCTGCAGCCGCGCAGCGTCCTGTCCCTGGGTCACCAGCTGCTCACTGAGCTGTCAGATGAGAGCTACTGCTCGCCCGCCCCCCGCCCCACCTCAGCCACTAGGCAGTGCGATCCAGGAGGAGGGGTGGGGGAGGAGATGGCAAATTGGGGCCGCAGCAGATGTGACCCCTGCCTCCCTCGCTGGCTGGGCCTGGGGGTCTGAGAGCTGAAGCCCGAAGCTCAGAGAGGACTCCAGAGTGTCAGGAAGGCGTTAGGCAGAGGTCACGACAGGCCTGGAAAGGAGCCTCCCATTGTACAGGAGGAGAGACTGAGGCCGAGACAGGGGAAGGGACATGCTCATGGTCACGGAAGGGATATTTAGGGGCCCACGCTCCTGCCCTCGGCACAACACTTCGGGCTGCCTGAGCGGGATGGCGGGGTTGGGGAGCTTTGGGGAGCGGCGAGCTCTGGGAGGCGGGAGCTCGGGCTCTGCGGGTGGCGGGTGGGGAGAGGTGGGTGAATATCTCCCTGGGTTTCTGCTCGCTGTGATGCCATGGTGATGCCTAGAAGGGTGGGGGAGGGAGGGAGGGAGAGAGAGGAAAGGAAGTGGGGAGAGGAGCAGGAGCAGGAAGAGCAGGGGGCGCGGGGAGAGGAGGATGAGGGCCCAGCCTGCTAACGCCAGGCCCTGGTGAAGGTCCCCCCACAGCGAGGGGACCTGGGGGGTCCTAGGGCCGGGCTCCTCTGGGCTCAGCAGTGCACGAGGAGCATTAACTGCCGGCTGCTGCACTGGGTGGGGGGGTGCCCCTTCCAGGGGAGACTGTTGACCCTGAAAATGTGATCAGTTGGATCTGCTTATGCCTGGTCCCCGAGGCCGGCATTGGGGTGGAAGTTTTGTGCACCTTTGATGGGTCAAGAGCTACCTTCAGAGAAAAGTCTGCCCAGGGGGAGGCGGGGGGGGGGGGAAGGGGGGGACGGGGCACTCTGACTCGGGTTAAGGCCCCATCAGAAGAGCCCCCACCCCCACCCGCACCTCGTACCTCCTTCTCCCCAAACTGCCCCTTCTCTCCAGTCGGGGCTGCAGGCTCCCAGGCCCAGAATCCCAAGATGGCTTCATGCCTCCTTCCTGAACCTTTTGCCAGCACCCCCTCATTCTCGGACCCCCCTCTCCACTCCTTGGCCAGTGGAAAGATTCCGGAGACCCGGTGTTCAGGAATCCCTTCCCCGGTGATCGGCGATCTCTCCCGGCCTCCCCCCCCCCACCCCCCCCGGCTCTCTCCCCTCCCCCTGCCTCTCACCATCCAGATCCCCAGCCCCCAGGGATCTGTCCAGGGCGCTGGCGGTCAATAGCCTGGCTGGCCCTGCTAGAGGCTCTGACCTCATCCCTTAACTCTTTGAGTCCAGGATGGCTTTTTCCTCCCTTGACATGGACAGAGGCCACGCATGCCCACGCCTGTCTTACCCCCCACCCGCTTCCCGCAGCAGGTGAAGCAGGGTTCCCTCTGTCCAGTCCTGGCCCCCAGGTGAGGATGCCCGCGGCTGTTCTCCTCCTGTGCTCTCGAGCCAGCCCCGCAGGGCCTCGCCCAGGGGACAGGGACCTGGCAGGTGAGGACATACAGGCCTGGAGGGAACAGAGGGACCACACTCAGGAGCTGGTTCTGCCCCCTGCAGGCTCGTCCTCATGCCCCGGCCCGGAGCCAGGCAGGACGACGCCGCGTACACACTCATGTATTTGTTCCACGGATGTTTATTGAGCAACTACTGTGTGCCAAGCACAGGTTCAAAGCCGTGAACGAGGCAGACACAGCCCCTCCCCTGCCTGTCAGAGAACTGCAGCTGCACCTCCCCCTTCCCACCCCACTGTCATCATACATCACACAGACAGACCACAGGCACTGTCGCGCGCACACACAAGCCAGATCCTAAAGGAGGCTGACCCCTCCCCGGTGACTGATTCACCCCGGGGCTTGGCCAAGCTTGGCCAGATGGACAAGGAGGCTGCTGAACCCCCTATCTCCACAGAGCAGGGTTTTTTTTTTAAATATATTTTTGTTGATTTCAGAGAGAAAGGAAGAGGGAGCGAGAGATAGAAACATCCGTGATGAGAGAGAATCATGGATCGGCTGCCTCCTGCACACCCCACACTAGGGATTGAGCCCGAAACCCAAGCATATCCCCTGACCAGGAATCGAACCGTGACCTCCTGGTTCATAGGTGGACGCTCAGCCCCTGAGCCACACCGGCCGGCCCCACAGAGCAGTTTAGAATAGAGATTGAAGAGGCCCGCCTCAGAGGGGCTGCGGCATCCAGATCCTGGTGGCATTGCTGGCAAACTCTCTGGACAGTCCTTCAGGTCACTAGCCTCAGCTGCCCCTTAGCAACTCGAGGAAAATAGGACCTACTTTGCAAGGAGTTATAACAGGCCGAGTAGAGCATGCGGACAGCGCTTACGGCCACGTCTGGTATGTTGTAAGCTGTAAATACCAGCTGCTGTAATAATATTAAGGAGATTATGTAAAGCTCCCAACAACCTTCATCGGGAGGCCGCGCCCTGGACGGCAAAGCCCCTCCCCGCCTCCTTGTCCCCCAGACGTGACACCCTCGGAGGATGAGTCCCTGCCCACCCCTTCTGACTCTTACTCAGCAATGCCGCCCTCACACTCACTCATCACGTAGAAGGGTCCCCGGGTCGGAGCGGGGCCTTGCCCAGGTCACACAGCGAGACGAGAGCAGAGATGGGGCTGAAAGCGAGGCAGAGGCAGTGCCCAGGACGTCTCCCCCAGCCCCCTGCATCCCCATGGACTAACTCCGCCCCCAGGGATGTTTCACAGAACAGGGGAGGCTAACAGGCCTCCAGCCTCCCCCTTTCACCGGATGGCGGACTTTAAGCCCCTCCTCCGCAGAGGTTCTGGGGCTGCTGGACCCTGGCACCTGGCTCAGCCCGGGGCTCCATCCCCAGCGGAACTAGCCACAGTCGCAGAGCCTCCTGGTCCCTCCACAACCATCATCTCGCTGACCTTCGTGGCCTTGAACAGGCAGAGGGCTGTCCCCGTCAAGGTTAAGGAGACCCGCCCAAGGGCACACAGCAGGGACCAGGGACCGGAGCAGGCTTCCAGGAGCTTGTCCTGAGCACATCACCGTCCCAACGAGGTCTGGGGAGGACCCGCTTCTGGGATTAGAGGACCGGACAGGCCGTGGACAGCTGCTCAGAGCTGCATCCCGGAGCTCAGAAGCCCCGGGGGCTGGCAAGGATCAGGGTTCGGTTCCCCGGAACCTCTACTGTCCTCCCTCCCAGGCGGGCGGCCTTTGTCCTCACAGCTGATAGGCAGGCTGAGCGGGAGGATGCAGACCTTGGAGCCCCAGGTGGGGGAAGGGGGGTGCAGAGTCCCATCTCCCGCTTCCTGTGAGACATCAGGGAGCCCCTTAGCCCCCCACCCAGTGTCTTCATCTACAACGCAGAGCTAAGAACCCCCCACTGGGGTGTCCTGTGGATTAAGGGAAAGAGTATCACACATCAGGGGCCTGCATGCAGGAGGCGATTAATTATGGCGGTTATCAGTATGAAAATGAGGAAGTGGGAAGGGACTCCGGCCCCCTCGCCTCCAAGGACCACTCCTTCTCTCAGAGGCTTTTTGAAATCCATCAAAGCCCTCGCTAGCCCCCACAGGAGCCTGGCGGTACTGACGGGCATGGTTGCCATGCTCCCACCGCGGGGAGATGCCAGTCCAGCCCCGGCTGAGAGAACATGTGAGCCGTCGGCCTCTGCAGCCTCGCCTGGGGACTTCGGTCCTTTCTGCTCAGTGTCTTGAGATGTCAGTTTCAAGCTCCTGTACAGTCCTCCCCAGATGCCAGGCTGGTCCCGCTCCCCTGCCGTGGCTCCCTCGCCATGCACGCAAGCAGTGTGGGGCCCAGAGACGGCTGTGCCTGGGGCCTGCCCGGGAAGGGCCAGGGCCAGAGGGGACGGGCATGCATGGAACGAGGCGTCAGGAAGAGTAACAGGCCTTTAGCTGAGCGGCATTTCAGAGCCAGGCACTTCGGATGCCATCGTCCCCATCGGCGGGGGGACGCAGGACAGCCGGAAAGCAGGGGCTGCGTGATTGCGGGCAATCACACGGCTGGGAAGGGTCGGCTTTGAGATTCAGAGCCAGGAATGCTGGAATTGGGGTGAGGCAATGAGGCCCTCGTCCCAGCATACAATTTAAGAGGGGCACACAGCAAACCCTCCGTAATCAGGATAAACACTATGGTAATGTAATATGTCTAGAGACCAAGTAGCAAACTACCCTCCTGAACACAGGTGACTATCCACGGGTGGCAGGCCATCTGCTTTTGTCAAGTTTCGTCGGAACCAGGGCCAGGATTAGGGCAAGGCGTGACGGCGGGGTGTGTGTGCAAGGGCAGGGTTGGATCCTGTCTTTGTTCAAAACTGTGTTTATTACGGACGTTTTGCATTGTTTTCCATTTTTAAATATTGCATTGAACTGTCATCTGCTTGATTGCTGAGTCCTGAGGCACTTCCTTGAGTGTCGCACCCAAGGCGAGGGCCGCCCTTGCCTCCCCCTGATCTTGTCCTGCTGAGGTGTGAGGCGCGGGTCAGTGGCGGGCGCAGCGCCTGGCTCATCGGAGGAGGCGCTGCGGCCGGGGAGGCGCAGCCGCGGGCCAGCAGCTCCGCTTCTAACAGGGCCTTTCGGGGCTGAGCCCAGGTCGCCGCTGGGGCTACGGAGCTGCTCAGAGGCACCTGGGAGTTGGGGGCAGCAGCACCCAATCTAAGAGCCAGGAGACCTCGGGCGACCCGGTGCCTTCTTCCCCCTTTTCTCTGGGCCTCGGTTGCTCCATTTGCGCAACGGGCATTGCACAGCACTGAGCTCAGACCGGAGGGACAAGCGGCGAGCAGGGCACCTGTCCAGGGCGGTGCCCACCAGCTGCCTCGCCGGGAAGCCCATCAGGCACATCCGGTCCCAGCCTCCCACCCAGCGCCTGACTTTGGTTAAGGACGGAGGATGCAACGAGACTCGGTAAGTGAAATAAATACCATTTCAATGTAACACTTCAAAAATTCACCGTGGCAAACCCCGGCCCCCAGGCCGAGCGTCCGTTTTTTAAAAGTTTCACTGGAACCAACTGCTTGGGCTCAAACCCTGGTTCCGACCCTCCTGGTGTGTCTTGTGCAAATTCTCCGGCTGTTCTCAGCCTCAGTTTCCTCATCTGTAAAAGGGAGAGAAGAGCCATGCCTTGGTCACCGGTTCCCCGCTGCGATGACCAGCAGCAAGGCACGTGCGAGACCGGCACTCGGGGCGCTAGGTCACAGCCACGATCACTGTGGCTCCTGCGGGCTGTTGTCCGAGTTGGTTTTTGAGTAGAAACCCTCCGTCAGGAAGCAGACGGGCCCAGGCGGCAGGGCGCCCTCGCGCGGCGGGTGCCGGGGCCGTGGCACCAAGTGTGCCAGGCCTGTTCTGGGCGCGTCACGCCTCTCGCCCCCCTGAGCCTCACAGCCACGCCTGGATTTGTTAGCCAGGAGCTATTGCCCCCGTTTTCCAGTTGAGGAAACCAAGGCACACAGCAGTCGTGTCGCCAGCAGAGCTCACACCCCCAGTTAGCGGAGCAGCCAGGATTCCCAGGCAGACAGCGTCTGGGTCCCGCGCCCAGGGCGTTCAACGCGCCCCCGCGTGCGCCCCGGTCCGGACACACGGACAGCACAGTCCTTCTTGCTCAGGGCCACGCTCTGAGCTCTCCTCACGGAGAGTGGCTCACACACACCTCGAGCCGTGGAGGTTCCCGTGGTCGCACGCTACCACCGCCACTCACCCCGTGGCCACCGTCACGCGGCGACCCTGTCACGGGCACCGCTCTCCAGTCTCTGTCACGGACCGGGCTCCAGGCATGCCAGGGCTGGGCGGGCCCTTGCCCAGAATCTCTCCCTTGGCATGTTTTCAGCGATACAGCCCCTCACGCCACGGCTGCCAGTAGGAGGAGCCCCCGGTGTCCTCGATGGCCAGGTGGACACCTGAGGCCAGAACGGAAAGGGAGCCGCCGAAACAGAGCGTGGCCGCGGCTGGGCTGCGGGGCGTCCTGCCTGGCCAGGGGGTTGCTAAGTGCCCATCCTGGGTTTTTCCTTTCCCTACACTTGTGCCTGGGCTGGACTCCAGGGTCAAGAAAAATCTGGGGGATCCTGGCTGGGTAGCTCAGTTGGTTAGACCCGTGGTCGGCAAACTGCGGCTCGCGAGCCACATGCGGCTCTTTGGCCCCTTGAGTGTGGCTCTTCCTAAGCCTTAGGAGTACCCTAATTAAGTTAATAACAATGTACCTACCTATATAGTTTAAGTTTAAAAAATCTGGCTCTCAAAAGAAATTTCAATCGTTGTACTGTTGATATTTGGCTCTGTTGACTAATGAGTTTGCCGACCACTGGGTTAAACCATCATCCCGAAACCCAAGGCTGCAGGTTCGATCCCCAGTCAGGTCACATCGGTACGAGAATCAAGCAATGGATGCATAAGTACATGGAACAACAAATTGATGTTTCTCTCTCCCTCTCTCCCCCTTCCTCCCTCTCTCTCTCTCTCTCTCTCTCTCTCTCAAATCAATAAATAACCCTAAAAAACAATTTTTTTAAAGAGAGAAATCTGGAAGATCTTCTTGTTCCCCTTGCGGCCCCCATTCAGCTGGAGCCAGGAACAGAGTGGGGAGGTGGGGGGGCCGCCCACACCCCGTCTGGGGCCAGACCCCGTGTATCTGGGAGCTGAGTCCCTTGCCCTGCTGCCTACTTTATGGCAGATCTTCTGCCACGGGGCGAGTGTCCAGGCCCAGCTCAGCTTCCCTGCTGCCCTCCGCAAGGGTCTGACGCAGCGCCAAACACCTCTCTCTCTCCCTCCCCCCCCCCCCCCGGCCCCACTGCACAGATACACATTCACACAGGCCCCTCTGCTCCCATCTCTCCCCTTATCTTCTCGGGAGCCCTCCCCTGCCTTCTCTTGTCTCCTTACTTGATGGAATTATCCCCCTGGAGCTCCACGTGCTCAAAGAGAGAGAGAGAGAGAGAGGAGTGGGTTCTGATCCCCCGCCAGGGTCGGCCTGGCCGCCACGGCTGCCTGGGTGGCCTGCGGGTCCTAAGAGACCTTCCCCCCAGATGCGCAGCCGTGAAATTGGGTAATCCAGTGAAGTGCTGAGCACTGTGTCTGGTGCGCAGTAACTGCTCAGTAAATGGGAGCTTTGATCAAATTTAGAGAAATGCTTTGAAATTTGGCCGTGCTGTCTACCAGAGCGAGTCTCCTGCGCCTGAATTAGCGGCAGTTTCCCAGCGAGGAGAACACTGAGGCTCCGCGCCTGAGCGGGGAGGGGGGGGTGGGCGGGGGGGGGGCTGAGCGGGAATGAAGACTCGCATCCCTGGATTCCAAAGCCACCCCCACCCCCAGCGGCGGGCAGACCCCTTCATTATGTGTTATAATGACCGTGTGTGTGTGTGTGTGTGTGTGTGTGTGTGTGTGTGTGTGGCCGCCAAGGCAGGAAGGGCCCAGCCCGCCTGGGAGGGTGCCGGGGGCGCTGTCTGGCCTGAAGTTCTGGGAGGGTGGGGCTGGTTCCTCGCGCCCCCCCCACTCCAGGCGGTGGACGGTGTCCAGCCCCCCAACCGAAGCCCATGTCCTCTCTTCCCAGGTGATGACCTCCCCCTGAGGAAGCCCCGCCGTGAGACCAGAGGAAGGGGCCGCCCCCTCGGCCCCACCCGCCGCCATGAACACCTCGGCCCCACCCGCCGTCAGCCCCAACATCACCGTCCTGGCACCAGGAAAGGGTCCCTGGCAAGTGGCCTTCATCGGCATCACCACGGGCCTCCTGTCCCTGGCCACCGTGACGGGCAACTTGCTGGTGCTCATCTCCTTCAAGGTCAACACAGAGCTCAAGACCGTCAACAACTACTTCCTGCTCAGCCTGGCCTGCGCCGACCTCATCATCGGCACCTTCTCCATGAACCTCTACACCACGTACCTGCTGATGGGCCGCTGGGTCCTCGGCACGCTGGCCTGCGACCTCTGGCTGGCCCTGGACTACGTGGCCAGCAACGCCTCGGTCATGAACCTGCTGCTCATCAGCTTCGACCGCTACTTCTCCGTGACCCGGCCCCTGAGCTACCGCGCCAAGCGCACGCCGCGCAGGGCGGTGCTGATGATCGGCCTGGCCTGGACGGTGTCCTTCGTGCTCTGGGCGCCGGCCATCCTCTTCTGGCAGTACCTGGTGGGCGAGCGGACGGTGCTGGCCGGGCAGTGCTACATCCAGTTCCTCTCCCAGCCCATCATCACCTTCGGCACCGCCATGGCCGCCTTCTACCTCCCGGTCACGGTCATGTGCACGCTCTACTGGCGCATCTACCGGGAGACGGAGAACCGGGCCCGGGAGCTGGCGGCCCTGCAGGGCTCCGAGACGCCAGGCAAGGGCGGCGGCAGCAGCAGCAGCTCGGAGCGGTCCCAGCCGGGGGCTGAGGGCGCGGCGGACACCCCCCCGGGGCGCTGCTGCGGCTGCTGCCGGGCCCCCAAGCTGCTGCAGGCCTACAGCTGGAAGGAGGAGGAGGAGGAGGACGAAGGCTCCATGGAGTCCCTCACGTCCTCGGAGGGTGAGGAGCCGGGCCCCGAGGTGGCGATCAAGATGCCCATGGTGGACCCCGAGGCGCCGGCCCCTGCCAAGCAGCCCCCCCGGAGCTCCCCGAACACGGTCAAGAGGCCGACGCGGAAGGGCCGGGAGCGCACGGGCAAGAGCCAGAAGCCACGCGGGAAGGACCAGCTGGCCAAGCGGAAGACCTTCTCGCTGGTCAAGGAGAAGAAGGCGGCGCGGACCCTGAGCGCCATCCTGCTGGCCTTCATCCTCACCTGGACGCCGTACAACATCATGGTGCTGGTGTCCACCTTCTGCAAGGACTGCGTCCCCGGGACGCTGTGGGAGCTGGGCTACTGGCTCTGCTACGTCAACAGCACCGTCAACCCCATGTGCTACGCGCTCTGCAACAAGGCCTTCCGGGACACCTTCCGCCTGCTGCTGCTCTGCCGCTGGGACAAGCGGCGCTGGCGCAAGATCCCCAAGCGCCCCGGCTCCGTGCACCGCACCCCCTCCCACCAGTGCTGATGGCCCCGCCCTCGCCCTCCACCCCGGTCCCGGGGGGCACCCGGTCGAGCTGGCAGCAGGGGCCGTGACCTCAGGCCCCGGGCCCTGCTCTGTCCTCACAGGCTCCCCAGGCCCCTAGGTCACCTTCCTGGACAGCCAGAGAGACCCTGCCAACTCCACTCTGCCATTCCCAGGCAGGGAGCGACCCGGGGAACTGGTTTTTCTGTCCCCTGCCGGGTGGGAACGGGCTCTCCACCAGGAAGAAGGCAGGAGGAGGATCCGGCCCTTGGATTCCTTGTTTGCATTTAGGCAGGAAGTCTACCAGGAGCCAGCAGGGCGAGCCAGCAGAGAGGTTTACCACGCAGTCAGCCCCGGCCCCTTGGCTGGCCTGGATGGCGGTGGCGAATGGCGCCCTCTGTGGCCACCGCGGGGAACTGGCACCGAACACTGAGAGAAAAGCTTGGCTCTTAGGGACCAGCCCCTGGCCCTTCCGCAGGCACAGCCCACTCTGCTGGGCTCTGGGCTCACTTTCCAGAACGCCCAGCCTCCCTCCCAGTGTCCGCAGAGCGACCCTGTGGGGTCCCCCTCCAGGCAGATGTCCAAGCATCAGCAGGACAGTGGCACCAGAGGGGACCAGCTTGGCTAGTCGCACGGCAAGTCCCACGGCAGCAGCAGGGCCCACGCCAGGTGTCCTGGTGTCCCATTGGGTCATTTCCTGGGGAGTGAGGGCAGGGTGCCTGCTGTCCAGCCTCACGCCTATACCCCCGCCCCAGAGGAACCCTCAGTCCCTCCTGGCTCCCAGCCGCCACCTGGGTAGGTCTGCTCCGTGCAGATCTAGCCAGGCCTCCTGCATGCTGCCTGCCTGCAGCCCGCCCCACACAGGCCCGGCCCAGCCAACAGGGCGTCTCCTGTGAGCCCCCCAGTCCCGCCCATGCATGGCCTCCCAGCCACCCTCATCTCCAGGCCCAGCCTGGCCCCAAATATCCTTTCCTTCCATCTCAGCAAGTGCTGAGTCTGAATAAAGCCTCGTAACCCACGAATGCTGAGGTCCTTCCTCCCTGTGTGGGACCCAGGACCTGGTCTTGGTCCAGGGCAGGATGGGGGGCGGGGGAGGGGGAGTAAGTACCGTGGGATGTGCACGGCTGCCCTGACGGTGCCCCCCAAAGGGCAGCACTGAGAGGCTGGACCTATGGATACACCTGTGGGCCCCGCACCCAGGCCCCAGCTCAGGTGAGGAGGGCTGCCTGGGCAGACCTGGCTCCTGGCAGTGGGAAGGCTGAGGAGGCTGGCCCTGCCCGCAGGCCCGCGCACTCTGTCAACTTTGCCATCTGCAGCTCCTCGGGGGCCCTGTCATACCCGGCGAGGACACACTGCCCCCAACCCCCATCACAGACGGGGAGCCACAGGCCAGTGACCCAGGAGAGCCGTTCAGGGTCACCCCACAAAGCAACACCAGGCCTCCAGGCAGCAGCACTTCCAGGAGACCGCCCCGAAGGCCGGTGACGCCCGAGGACGCAGAACTCTCGAAGCTGTTACACTCGCGGTTATAGTTTCTTAGGTGAAAGGACACAAATTAAAGCCACGGCGCAGAGTCCAGTGAGGCCGGGGCAGTTTCCAGGGCGTCCTGGGCAGCACCGGCCTCCCCAGCAACGGTGTGGCGACACGCAGGGGGGCGGGAGCTCCCAGGCAGGCCTTTCCCTGCAGGCTGCCTCGGCCCCCAGCCCCTCCAGAGGCTAAACCGCACGGCGTGGCCCGGGAGCCCGTGACCCCACGGCCCGCAGAGCCCAGCCGGGGTGGCTGGAGGCCCGCAGGTGGGCTCAGCGGGCAGGGCGCTCAGGGTGTAGGCGCGCGCTCCGGCCGGCAGGGCCACGCCGTTTGGAACGTGCGGGCTGGGTGGCCAGACCTGCAGGCGGCTCCTCGGCGCACAGTGGGACGGTCTAAGCCGGCACGTGGGTCGGGAATGGGGCCGGCACTGGCCCTTGTCCCAGGCACAGGTCCTGCTGCCTGCGCCCCCTCCCCACCGCCTGAGGCAAGTGTCATCTTCAGTGTCCTCGCCCCTGGGAGGAGCTAGAAGACGAGGGGGGCCTGGGGAGAGCACCCCACGGGCTCCATGTCAGTCACCGCAGGACCAGGCTCTCCCAGGTGAAGGCCAGGAACGAGTCTCATGTCAGACACACACCTTTCCACACGCCTCCAGCCGAGGCTCTAAGGGGTCCAGAGTCCCACCCCCAACCCTGACCTCACCCTCACCCCGGCCCAGGGAGGAGACAGCAGGGGGAAGGAGTATGGGGAGCAAGCCTGGTGCAGGGGTTGGGGGGGGGACGGGGCGCAGGCTGCTTCCCAGAGACATGCCTGTGCCCCGCAAGCCTCTGAGGCCAGAGCCCTCCCGGTCCAGCCGCTGCGGGAGCTGCAGGAGGCAGCTGAGCCGGACGTGCACCAGTTCACCCCCAACGCTGCACCCCTCCCACCCCGAGGAGCCCTTCTTGGCCCCAGAGATAAGGGCCCTTTCGTGCCTGAGCAGGAAGTTGGGAAAGAATAAGGCGGCTCGGACACCACCCAGTCCCTGCCAGGTTGGAGCGATCCTGGAGCCCGCACCAGCGAGGGTTCTCTGTCCTCTCCCTGCTGCCCCCTTCCTCCCCCATCCCTCCGCCCCCCAATTCACAGCACATCACTTTAGCTCCATCTGCGGGCAATCGAGGGAATAGTCCCCCAGGCTGGGCTGCCTCCCAGACAACAGGACTGTGAGACCAAAGACAGAGCAGATGGCCCTGGCGCCTGGGCTCCTGCCCCCACGCCTGGGCAGGGACCAAGGCCCCGAAGGCCCAGCTCGCCTGGCCGCTATTCTAAACCTGTAGAGGCAGCCTGCCCTCTCCCTGCGGGCCAACCTCTCCACGTCCTCCAGGCATCTGCCTCCCCAGGCGTTTGGGACCCTTTTGTTTCATTCCTTGGAGCTGGCTCTGACGTGACGGAGCTGATGCTGAGCCAACCAGACATTCAGACAGGTACCCGCCGCCTTCACAGCACCAGGGCCTTTGGACGCCAGGTGCCCACACCAGCCTCAGGCCTTACCAGGTGTGAGACGCACACAAACCGCGTGACTCCAGGGAGCACTTCTCCCTCCTCCCTCCCGGCCCCTGACCTTCCCGCCCCTGCTCCCACTCTCGCTCTTGGCATTCCGGGCACCCCATTCACTCAGCTCCCACCCAGAAATCTGGGCGTCATCTCAGATTTCGTCTCCTTTCACCCCTGTGCCGGGTCAGCCTGTGTACCTGCCGAATTGTTCCCAGATTCACCCCGTGTCCTCCCTCCTGCACCCCTGTCCCCGGGCCGGCCTCTTGCCTGAAATGCTAAAATAATCCCGTAATTCAGATGTTAGCAAACTGTGTCTGTGACGGGCAAATAGCCAATGCGTGAGGCTATTGTGTAGGTACGTCCGCATCAGCCTCCGCCGCAGCCCTTCCACTCCGCCACCGTCGCCAAAAGCAGCCGTACACAACACGTACACAATACGTGAGCGGATGAACTGGGCCCTGTTCCAATAAAGCTTTATTTGAAGTTCGCTGAGGTTTGAACTTATATCATCTTCATGTGTCACAATATAATGACTCTTTTGATTTGCTTTTCAGACACTTAAAAATGCAAAGCCCGTTCTTAGCTCCCAGTGGGTCCAAAACCAGGCCCGGTGGCCGCGGGGTGCCAGCCCCTGCCTTCACGCCCACCCATTCTCCCTGCCTCCGCCAACGCGATTTTGCCAAAACATAGGTCCGATGCCAGCAGTCCCTTGCGTGATTACCACTCGTCAATCGCTCGAGGACAGGAGCTCCGTAGCCTGCGGGGCCCTCCATCCAGCCCCCTTCCCTCTTCAGCCTCGTCTCTGACCTCTGGCCCCCAAGCCTGGCCCCAGCCTCGGAGAGTCTCCCGTCCTACCTGGGCCCCACGCTCACCCCGGGTGCTTTTAACTCCTCCCAGCTCCTCTGCTTGGCGTATTCTCGCCCCACTGAAAGGAAACACTCCTGTCTCCTTACCCTCCCTACTCACAGAACTTCCCACACCAGATGTCTGCACCCAGGAAGTCAGCTCGTTACAACAGAAGACCCGCCTGCCATCACCCAGGAGACCCCGGGGTGCGGGGGCTCTGCCCGCGGAGGGAAGACCAAACCCTGGAACTAAAGACGCTCCTGGCACCCCTGGCACTCGGGAGATTAAAGGCCGGCGTTTGGGAGCCAGAATTTGCGAACTCGAACAAATTACTTCCTCGCCTCAAGCCTCGGCTTCCTCATCGGTGAGAGGAAGACAAGCAGCTGGGCCTGTTGTGCACTGAGCACTCGGAAGGCACGGCCCCCCCTGCCTGCCGTGGTCTGCACAGTCCCTCTCGGCTCCTCGCTCTGCCCAGCCGAGTCCGCGTGCGCGGTCGGACCGGGGCCTCCCCGTCAGCACAGCACTGGGAGGGTGGACCTGGTGGACAGACATTGGTCATCGTATTGCTGCTGCCTGGACAACTGGGAATGACCGGCTCCTGCGAGCATCCTACCCGCCCTGACGCGCGAACAAACTCTCTCTTTGGAGATCCCTCAAGGTGGACGTTGCTGTTCCTCTCTGTGAGATAAGAAATATGTATTTGTGCCCGGCCAGTATGGCTCAGTGGTTGAGCGTCGACCTATGAAACGGGAAGTCACAGTTCAATTCCCGATCAGGGCACGTGCCCAGGTTGTGGGCTTGATCCCCAGTATGGGATGCGGATTCTCATCATTGATGTTTCTTTCTCTCCCGCTCCCTTACCCTCTGAAATCAATAAAAGTATATATTTTTTAAAAAGAAATATGCATTTTTTTTTGTCTCAGTTTCTGACACAGAACTTCTAAAACTCTTGGAATTTCCCGAGTAATGGAGGTGAGACAAGCATCTTTCCTTATTCACAATAAACCCCTTTAAATATATATATATATATATATATATATTTATAGAGAGAGAGAGAGAGAGAGAGAGAGAGAGAGAGAGAGAGAGAGTGAGTTCAGAGAGGAAGGGAGAGGGAGAGAGAGAGAAACATCAATGATGAGAGAGAATCATCGATGGGCTGCCTCCTGCACACGCCTCCCTGGGGATCGAGCCCGCAGCCCGGGCCTGTGCCCTGACCAGAGTGGGCACCCCTGAGTGAGCAGCGGGTGAAGCACCACCCCCTGGGCCCTGTGAGCCGCCTGAGAGAACCCGGAGCCTGAGGAGGGCCTGTGGGAGCCCCTGGGTTACAGCCAGTTGGTCACAAGAACCGGTGACACCGGAGGCATCTCAGATGGGGCTGGCCTGGGGATGAGCCGGGAACCGAGGCCCCCCGCTGGCTGCCCGCAGTCAGGGCTGAGCTGGGTTGCAGGCCACCCGTCACCTCCGGAGAATCAGAGGAGCGAGCAGCTCGTGAGGGGAAAAGACAGCACATTTGGTGTCGCAAGTGTTAGGAGGGACAGCAGTTCCCACCACCTCCCAGGTGAGGCGACTGAGGTTGAGGTTGAGTCGGGGGCAGAGCAAGGAGTCTGCCTGCAGTGATCGCCAAGCCCACGCTCTCCTCCTGCTCACCTGGCGGCCACCGGCTGGGCACTCATTCAGCTGAGCAGGGCCCTGTCCTGCTCCCTCCAGCCCTGGGGACGCCCTCCATCCCTCCATCCGCATCACACAGCCTCAAGGCTCTCCCCCCTGCCATCCCCCCACAGCTTCAACGCCAGTGTCCTCACCGCCCAGGGGCACCAGGCCCATCTCCCCCCAGGCCCTGTCCCTTTGCTCCCCTCTCGCAGCCCCTCCCCGCCATGGCTCTTCCTTCGCCGAGGAGCCTGAACTGGCTCCTCGCCCACACCTGCATATCCACAGGCCCCTGGCCCCTGGCTTCCACTGAATCTCACCTCCCTGGTCAGCCATGCCTCCCCCTTCCCTGACCCCACACAGGGCCGTGCAGCACTGCTGGGGGGAGCCCTGCTGTGAGGATTGGCCCCAGAACGGGCACAGGGCCCCGGACCTCAGCCAAGGGGCCCAGGGTGCCATGTCACTCCCCTGGTACTTGTCCTCCGTGGGCTCCTTGCCTTATTCCCCAAGGAATT